TCAAATATTTCAAATATCCGCTAAAAAAATTCATTTCGGACAGGCAGAGCAAAATTCTTGGCATATCGAGGCCTATTTACTGTTCGGGAAGCTCCAAAATTTAATTAAACTGATCCTACAAAAGAAAAGATCGAAAAACATTCGCAAGCCGCGAAACTCACAAAAAACCCTACAGCCTTCCGGTATGCCACTATAACCGCTATTTTCAGCATGTAAACTTTGATAAATTGACGCTACAGGTCCGACAATCTGCATAAACCAATGTAGATGAAATTGTTAATATGGTGTTTAATTGTTGAAAGATGAAGTTGGAGTCGATATAAAAGACGAGAATTCCTGTTAAGACAAGGTCAAGGCGAAGCATGATTTTTCGCATTTTCATTGAGACTGAATATTTGACGTGGATCTTGTGGAAGAAAAAATTAGGAGCACGAATATCGCAAATTACGACCTTGATGACAAAATGATGAAGATCAAAACTATCCTGAGAAACTTTATGATGGATTCATGCTTTATTCAACATCAAACTAACGCATATTGACAAAAAAGTGCATTTTTTCGACATTCCAAAAATATGGATTCCAAAGTAAATTAATTGTTATGTTTGAACGGTAAAAATTTTGCCTCTGTGCAATTAGCACACAAAGTTCCAATCACTGTAATTAAAAAAAAGGGAAAAAAGTCTTTTTTGAAAATTGTGCCCGTTTCTGCGTGTATGAAAAAAGGAGAAAGAACTTAAGCTTGTAAACATTGATCATTGCTTTAATTGACTACGTTTATCGTTGCAAGTGCATGATAAAACAACAATAAAGGGCTGACTAAAGCTTCAAAAACTTTTTGTTTTTCCAAGAAAATTCATTTTTGACTTCAGAACTATTTACTCGTTTTTTTTTGCTCTGCTCATTTGCTTTAGTGAAAATATGAAAGAAAAAACTTTTTACTTTACAGCCGAGATTTAAGAAAAGCGGTGAAATCCTGCGAGACATAGTTTTACCACATTCCTAGAGAATTCTTAACCCGATTTAAATCTCGTGACAGAAGTTAACATCGCGCAGCGAATTAATCTGCATTCAATTAAGCATTCGGAATTGAGGCAAGTAATATATGCTTCAAAAATTTTCAGCCATCAGAAGAGAGTGCAGCAACACTACACAACGTTTAACTCAGCGGATAGCAGGACCTATCCTGTCGTTGGTTGCCAACGGGTTAATTTCTCTAAAACGCCTTTTATTTTCTGGTTGGCGGGTGCAATGGTTCCATTAACTTCAAAAAGAAACGTAGGAAAGGTTTAAAAAGAAAAAACAAAACTTCAAAGATAAATTGCATTTAGCTGAATACCACCATTGCGGAAAACACTTATCAACGCATATTTGAACACAGAAAAATTCAAACCCATTTTATGATATTTGAATGAAACATAAATTGAGACTACAAAATGTATTTCGGTATTTAAATTTCACATTGACTAGAGCAGTTGAACTATATTCTCTGTTATGACACAAGTAGTTCTCCTTTGACCTAAGTAGTTCATAAGTAGTTGACACAAGTAGTTCTCCTTCTGGTCGCCAAATTCTCCAAAGATCCGCTCTTCGCACTTTTTACGACAGTCATTTCTGGCTGACTAACCCTAGAAACGTTCTAAAGGTGCTTTTCATATGCAACGTTTTAGAGGAAACCCCTCCAAAAATAGAAAATGAATTACCTAAGAAAAAGTCGATTAAATTGTTCAGAAAACCTCCCGTCACCCTCACACATCACAAATTCCTGCGAACGGCACTGTATAACCCGCAGCAAAGTTTCAATTGAAGAAGAAAATTTTTTCAATGAGCGTTTTACAAGCCAGTAGCAGAATTGGAGGGACGCTTTTTTTCAGGGATTCGATCTCCTGGCCACACAAAAGATCCTTCTTTTGGTAAGACTTCATCAGAACCAATTTATGGCGACGCCAAAATACACGAAACTTGACTGCGAGCACGCGACAAAAAAAACGTGACTTTTTGGCCGAAAAAAATTTCAACAGCAGAAGCTAAAAAATTGAAAGCTATATTTTTCAAAATTTCTGTGGTGTAAGGTATCAGCGACTATTGCGAAAGATTATTTGACAATTTCTAGTGTTTCAGAGCCAAAAATAGAAGACGGTAAACTCAGGGGGTTGGTTATCGGAACCAAGATAAAAATTGGCATTGAAGTCACCCAAATTAGTAAGAAAATCATTCGGAAAAACTGCATCCTATATTGAGAGAGTTGGCGAATCTGCACGAGACTTTTCGAAATAACTTAATCGGTTTTCTTTTCAAACATTGCAAACACCAACGCACTTCCTAAAAAAATTCAAAACGCAAAAAAAAATAAACTATCGATCAAATGAGAGCAAAAATCAGCTTTGAAATCTAAAATGCTCAGGCATCTTGAAGGGGGGCAATTCGCTACAAGGTATTATAAAGGAGCATATAGTTAACAAAATCCATACTCAATTCAATAGACAAGTGCAAGTATAAAAACTAAACTATGCAATGATTTTAACAAAAACCGGGACTGATGGGAATGCACAGAAACCGTATATCATCAGTCTTCACAAGTTTATCACTGAAAAAGGCAGGGTAGTTATTCGGCGTGGGAGGATTCTGGAGAGCTTTTCGAAATAGGCAAGGAAATGAAAAAGGGAAAAAGGAAACAGACGCATCTCCTCACAGACACAACTCTCTCTAATGAGTAACAGTGGTAATAAAACCCCAAAGCAAACAATTTGCACAGCAAAGTATTCAATCCAATCTCTATGACACTTCAATTATCGTTTCAATTTTCAGTCATCAGGGAGGAAACAAAAAAGTTACAAATCTTGCATTTCATTCAGCCCTCAACCCACTCTCAAGAAATTCTCGTTAATTTGGTTCAATAATCTCAAGAAAAATTGGATCGAACTTCTTTGCAAACCCGCTTTAGAATTAGGCTGAAAAAGCGATTATATAGGCAACCGCGCTAGCAGTCGCATGCTAAGCGGCACGCATGAAAGTAGGCTGCTCCCCCAGGCAATCGAAACGATAATTTATGAGGCTGTTGTGGCGTAAACCAAAAACTAGCTAACAGCTTAATTTTCTCGAATTAAATTTGACTATATCTGCAAAGCAGCTTTTTTTAATGATTTCTAATAACATTTGAAGTTATTGATACTTTAGATTCAAATATTAAAAATAAAAAGCTGCTATTGTTCGTAAGTTTGCGGATTTGAAATTTGTCATTTTAACAATTTTGACACATGAAAATCAGAAAAAAAAATCAAAAATTTCTATTCAAATTGTTTTTAACAAAAACTACTCAAGCCTGTTTAATGGGCAGTCGCAAAAAAAGGTTTCAGGTTGATACGAGCAGTCATGGCGTTTCGACTTTCAAAAGAATTTTGTGTTTGGTGTTTTCTACAGAAGTTTTTAACACAGAGGCGAAGCTGAGCTTCGCACCACTTACGATACAAAACAAGAAAAAAATGAAACAAAAAACCGAAAATGTCGAAAAAAAACTAGATCTATCAGAATGAATAAGGCTAGTTCTGAAACAATAACATGCCAAGACAATATAAAGTGAAAGTAGCATCGGACGATAAGGTACCCAGCGGCGGTAACAAAGCCGAAAATGCCTTAACAGACAAGACACCCTTTAAGCCGAAAAAAAATCAAGAAGACTTAAGACTTATGAAAATTTAATAAGTCCCCTCACCCTCAAAACACAGGCTATAACATAGGCCGAAACCCATCAAGCCGAAAGAAACTGAAAAAAAAGCTTAAAAAACTGGTGTCATTTCTTTTAAGATCTCTATGATCACTATGATTTCTTTTAAGATTTTTAGTATTTTGTGCGATCCAGAGATGAGCATAAAAATGTTTCCGTTGAAAGGAATCGAAATTAGGCCACTAATCCGATAAAATAGGCCGAAACCATTTGGGCAGAATGCAGTTTTTAAGCAAAACAAAAAAAAGGAAATAAACGAAGTCAAGGTTAGTAACAAGACAAACAGGAGAGCCAAAACAGAACACAAAAAGCAACTATAATGTCAAAAAACTAGAAAAAAAAACAATTCTATAATAAGGCAACTTAGCCGACTAAACATAAGCAGACAATAATAAGCCGGCAAATTTTTTTGAAATGGACCACAGTCAGTTTCATGAAAATAGGGTGACTTAAAAATGTCAATTTGGAGTTTTATACTAACGCGAATTTAGTTGAGGCAAGTTACTTGTTCCAAATAAGCTTTTGCTAAGGCACAAATTATACTTGAAATTCTTGTGGATAAACATTTTCAAAAAGTTCAAACACGTTTTCATTTGAAAAATTTTTATCAATTGTTTTTGTCAAAAACTACTACAGACACATTCGAGCTGTAGGAATATTCATTACGCGCTCATACGACCAGTTTTATTTCTTTTTGCTTGGGCATCTAAAAACGCGATGTCGATGTGGAATAGAGTGCTTTTTGTAGATCATTGATAAGTTTGAAGGGTCATATCTGAAATCGCAAATGCGGATGCCAATCATTTTCATTTTAGACCATATTTGAGGTTTCGTAGCTGCTGGGACATTGAGCTTAACGTATATTTTGCTATTTCTTGAAGCTTAAGCTTCACTTCACGGACAATTTAAAAACGAGCAAAGATAACGAAACAAAAACCATATAGATTGAGTACAAAAAATTATTCAAATTCGAGCAAAATATGTTTCAAAACATGTTTCAGAACACTAGTGAATGAAGTGTTCAAAAAAAATTTAAAAGTTCGCAAAAAAATTAGAAAATTTCAGAAATCTTTAAAAATTTGTTTTGAATTAGTTTTTTGAAAAAATCTGTTGTCAAAGATGCCTAATTTACTATTATTATCAAATATTTTGTTTCATCATACCATACGGACGAACGGCAATACGGACAAAAAGAACCTTTTTATAATGACGCAACTTTCTGTGCTACATGCGCAGCAGCCGGATATCTTTTTTTTTATTTGTATGTGTTTACTCACAGCTGCAACGCCCATTCCTGATGAAAAGCGAAGTCCAGTTCAGAGACGGCCACGAATCCATCCACCGACAGCAGAAGGTCACTGCAGGCTAGTGCTATGCAGTAAATGCGGTAGGAAGTGAAGTTCTTCAAGTTCCCAGCCTGCTTGGACAGAAAGGAGACAATAACGAAGAATGAAATGACATTAATGATGCAAAAGCCACGAAAGTAGACTTCAAACTCGGAATGCTTCCACAGTTCGGAATTTGTTTTGGAATCTGAAAAGTCGTGGGAAAAATTTACCACTGTCGAAGCTAGGAAATCTGTAGCATTTAATTTGCCCATAGCATGTGAGTTGAAATTTTTGATTCTAAGAACATAAAAAACTTGATTTGATTTTCAAAGATGAAGATGTTTGCTCAGAAGTAAACAATTAGACTTTCAATCCAATTTGAGAAGAATAAAAATTAAAATACAAGCTTGAGGCAGAATTTAAAGGCCTTTTTTCCATTTTCACATTTTAAGTAGCTTGTGATTGGTTAATAAACCAACAGTTGACTAAAAGCTTTTAATAGCTTGAAAAGATGTAAGAGGTTGTTAAAAAATATATTTCGGGTACATGCCAAGGATTTAGCGCCCCGAAGGATATCAAATGGAAAAATAAACGCCAAGATCTACCAATTAGGAACAATGATCAGTAAAAGCGTGAGAGGCACAAACCACACACCCCCAGTAAAGGAGACATTTCTCAAAGAGCCAATCAGAGCGCGACTTCTCAGAGGTATTTTGTCTGTTCAGACGGGGAGTGCAAGTACCTTGAGGAAGTTTTTGGCACTAATTGGACGCCGTGATCCGTAATTTCAGGGGAATTTAAATTCAAAACCCCTCAAAGCATCAAAAATAGAATCTCGGAAGATCTTCATGAGAGGAGATAGTTTCCAATTAAAAATCAGGCATGTTCTATTGAGAAATTAGTCCGTACTTGGCGACTTTCGACGTTATTATAAATTGTGGAGATCGGTTATAATTGGGATTTCATTATTGGTCAGCAATTTTTACCTCTGAAGGTTAACGGGAATCATGTGAAGGAACACGACACTTAAGATAATTGCAATTTCTCTGAAAAGCCTTTTTTATTTCGTTTTAGAAGATGAACTGGTGGTACCATTCGGGTTATATGTCAATCAATCATTGGTGGGAACAATTTTAATGAATTACCAACAGGAAAAAAACAAGACTGGAAAATGTTCTTTTATCAGGGCAGCTCAGTCAATCAATTGAACATGACAGTACGTTTACATTAATTGATTTAGTGACATTTCTGACTGCTGAAAAATACCTTCTGAGATAAATGATAAATGTGAAATGCTTTTATAATTCAGCATTTTTTCAAAATCATTTTTGGACAAAAAGTCCATGGCGACTGGCACTTGCTTAAAAGTTTTCTTCCAGCCTTTTTTGCCGTTTTACACCAGAAAAACTTGGACGAACAACCGATCAATAAAATTGACGCAAACATGCAACTACAATTGAAAGGTTGAATTTTCAGTTTTTAGATAAGCAATTTGAACATTTTTCAATGGTTTCAATTAGCTTTTGGATTAGCGAGTAATTTTTTAGATAAAAATTAAACACAGTTAATATAGAGGTAAATCAAAGCCTAGCATCACTTGAGATACAGCACAAACGTATAATAATAATAATAATAATAATGTAGTTCCTGCGAATCGCAGAGGAGCTATCAGTAGGCCTTAACAGTACTAGGACAGTCCATTTGTATTATCTCCCCACATTCCAGACAGTGTTATTTTGCTGAGCGAAGCTGTTTTTTGCGACTCAAGGCCGTTTTTTTTTGCGTCTAGAACTTTTACGTGGCACCACTATTGCAGCCAAATTTGGTCAGGTTGTGGTAGACCTGAAGCTGGAGGTCAAGTGAGAGCTTGTCCTCACACACTATCATTGCCATTGCCACTATCAGAATACACGATCTGACGATTTCAAAGTGAACGCCTTACCACTATGCTAAGTGCCTCTATATAATGACAAACTAGACGACAAAAAAGTGAGACGAAAACTGCTAAGTAGAAAAAACGAGGAAAAAAAATTGAATCTGTCAAAACTTTCATGTTTGCCTCGATTTGTACTGAAGGAAACTCATTTGAAAAAGAAAACACGCCGAAACAATTGAATGCTAATTAAGCATTTGAGTGACATCGAACTCATTTTCAGTTCAAACAACTCTTCATTTTTAAGTTTCAAAATATTTCTGCCTCGTTTCGTTTCTGAGGTAGATCGGTTTCGGGTAGCTGGTTAATTGACAACATTTCATACGTAAATTAACCGTAATTATCGGAAGTTACAAGTCAACAAAGAATATCGAACTGATATAAATTTCGGTATTTAAAAGCAGAATTCAATGTCATAAAATACGCAAAATGAAAACATTAAAAAATTAACTTTAAAACAGCGCCTGAGCAATTTGTGAACTTTTTTCCGATCTTTTAGTTTTTCGTCTTTTCTCACACACGGCGCATCGTTCACCAGAAAACTCGATAGTTACTATCAAAGGTTTTTTCTCGCTTTGAATTCTGGCGAGAACACAAAAGATAACTTATACTTCAAACTGCGGCAATTATATTTTAATTTACCTAGGTGAAATTTAAAAGCAGCAACTTCAACCGGATATTTATTTTAAATAATGTTAGATTGGAATCCTTCGGAGCTCTCTTGCATGTGGAGAAGAAGTGTTTCCGGACGCCGAGTTATTCAAATAAAAGCGATCTTTAAACTGATCTAAATCAGATAATTGTAAACTACCTGTACTTTACAAAAATTGCCTAAAGTTTTAGTGAAAAATGACTAGAAAAACAACAAAAATTGTAAAAAGTTTTAAAATGTTCTAAAATTATTCAAAAAAATTTAGCAAAATTTTTTTTGATTTTTTGAATCACAAAATGGCGCTAAAAACTTCGCAAACTAATTAAACTAGAGCTTATTTAAATGTTCGGGGATTGGATAGGCGTATCATTCTTCAAACTAAGCAAACTAATCTTGTCAAATAGCTATCTCTCCCCACATTGGAATCTTTAATAAAAAGGTGCTTGCAAAAAGTTGGGCGATAAATAAATATTATCAGCAAATTATACCTTAATACTCCTTCAGTTATCATGAAACTCAGTTGCACACTTTAATCAAACGTGATCTGATCTTCGAATTTGACCTAAAACTTTTTCCAGCACTTCTAAGGAAGAAATAAGATTTAGTTCTGCTTTTCAAATTTTTTCATGGAAAATCTGCTTTTACGTTGGGGCTTAATACTCTTTGCTTATCTGAAGTAAAGATTAAAAATGATTGATTGGATGGCTGCAAAGTGACTGTTTTCTTAAATCTTTCATAAATACTAGGAATAATCTCCAAGGTATTCTAAGTAGACTGGGGTATTGATAATACAATAAAATGAACTATTTTTAATCCAGTCTTTGTTACGGCTTCAATATTTAAAAGGTGTTTGGTTCTGAAAGAAAACTTTTTCTTCCTTATTTACTATTCAGCAAGACAAAATGTAAAAAGACGTTATTTGAGACTACCTGTTTAAAATCATAAAACTAATGGCTTGTTTTGTCCCTAGAAACTTAAGCTCAGAACAAATTTGGAGCAAAAAAAACACTACGAATCAAATTGAAATTGATTTAAAAAAAACTTTCAAACCGGATTTTCATCACTTCTGGTGATCAGTCTAATAGCATGCCGTGGACATGCTGCTTTTTTATAGAAATATAGAACGTGGAAATTGCACATTAATTAGTCCGAAACTTCCAATTTTATAATATCAAACACAGAAAAAAAAAATGATTGCAAATGAAGATGAGCAATTTTACAGAGTTTGCAACTGCAATGTCGTACAAAAATTCTGCACAAACATTGCTGTCGAAAAATGAAATTCGTCTGGAAATAACAAACAAAACCTATGACCATCCGCCAATTTGACCAAAAATGAGAACAAGAAACTATTTTGTGACCTAATTGATAATACCACTTCATTAAGTGGAAAAAAAAACATTTTTATATAGCAAATACAGTAAAACTACTAATAAAAATTAGATACAATAGCTTTAGCAACTATCAAAACGAAACATTAACAAGGATAGCCGGTTGCTGTGCAAGTAGCACAGATTGTTCCGACCCCATTTTCAGAAATTTTTTTCGTCAAATTGGTATATGTTTTGTGCGTCGTGCGATGATACAAGTATACGAACGCGTAAAAGTTTAGTGAATTAGGCATACACGAATCCAATGGTCTTCAAAAAAAAAATAAACAAAAAAATTTTAAAAAAATTGTTCAATATTTTTTGCACTAAAAATTTAAATACTTCTGAACAATTTTTTTTTGCCAGAGAAGAGCTAAATGCAGCTTCCAAAACTAGTTTTGCTTTTAGTAAAATCATGTTTCTTTAGCCGTAATAGCTTCCATATATAAGAAACCTTACTCGATCGCTGTACTCGCTCAAAAATAGACGAAAATTTCAAACCGGTTTTTCTCGACACTAAGAAAAAAAACTAAAACACCCCAATACAAAGTTTCTCCCCATTTTCAATGGTCGGAAAAATTAGTTTGAAATCTTACTTAGATCTTAATCAGAATAAAATGTAACTCCCTCTATTTCATCCATTCCTTCGCGATCAATTAGTCTAAAAAAGTATTCAGAACAATTTTTTGACGCTGAAATAACTTCTTCGATAAACATTTGGTTGCCAACGAAATGACGAATTTTAAGGCATTAATACCAATTCAAACACCTGCTAGCCATTGAAAAATTTATCATGTCCAAGCCATTGATGTCCAGTTATATTTTAAAAACCAGTTTTTATGTGGAACGTAACTATATTGATTTACCGTATTACCATTAAGGTATCCCATTATTTTAAAAATCAAAATAAATGAAATCAAATTTCAAAAACACGCTTTAAGGGGGTATTAGATGCGTATATTTCTAAAATTGATCATTAGTGATCGATTGCTCCTGAATTGCAAGGGTGCTTGAACTTACAATGAAAGGGTTTATTTGACGCCAGCGACCCTAGCAAAAGGTGCAACTAATAGTAGAAAAATCAAAAAGTGTCCATTTGATATATTATAACATAATACAATAATTATAGCATTAATACCTTTTAAACAATTTGCAAAACAAAATGCATATGATTAATGTTAAACGCAGTTCCATTTAACTTCATTTATACTTAGCGTCAACAATAACGTGACTCTAAACGTTGAAATAGAGGGGAAGATGCAAGTCGCAAACACAATCTATAGCAAAAAGAGCTTTGAAATGCAAGAACTTACCAAAAGAAGAATACTAATTTAAAAAAGAAAGCATACAGCTCGAGGTATTCGAACCTCTGACTACGAATTGAGTTTAATGTCTCAACAATTTCCCCATACTAATTACCTCTTTCAAACAAAAACCCCTGAAAACCGAAAACACTTACAATTCATTTGCCAAATGAAATTAGTATTAGTGAAATACAAAAATAAAATTGAGCTTTTTTGTAAAGCACAACTCATGCGAGAAAAAAACTGAACTATTAATAAAACAAGACTGCTCGTA